CGCCCCAAATTATGCTTGTTCCGGGCGTTGATGATCTTAATGCTAGTACAATATCTCGTATTCACGGGCCTCACGCAGTCTTCCTAGGCTTGCGCTGCCAGCCCGTCTTAAACTTCCCCATGCCCATTCTAGGAAACACGTGCGCCTCGGTGTTGAACACCACGTCAGTGAGAGGAAGAACGTCGTCCGGCGAGAAGAGCAGGTATAGATACTTGAGTGTTTCGGCCTAGCAGAACATGTCAGTAGGAATACTAATCACACCAACGTGTCACGTACCAGCCAAAAGCTCTCCATGTTGTCTCGTCGCGGAGGCGGGATAGCATTCACATTGTTGAGAGAAGTAAAGCCCCCTCCCAGTGGAACGGTCGAGTAGTCCAAGAAGGCCTGGAAGATTACCCAACCCCACTCTCGGTAAATGGGGTCTTTTGTGATACGCCACATCATGAACAGACTCTCGACAGTCTCCGGTCGCTGGAGGTTATGCGCATCAAGTGGTTTGATATTGAAGTCTTTTTTCCAGACCTCTTCGGAGTTTGAGCTGCGTTCCAAGGGTGCGCGCGGCATATTCTTCCTGGACTGCAACGACTCGTCGCTCGCGCGGAACCAGACAATTTCAGGTGCTATTCCGGTGTCAGTCACTTTGTACATGCCCCAGCAGGTCTTTGTAAGCGCCCTTGCCAATTCCATTTGTTGCGACTTCTCGGTGTTCCAGCTGGGTAGGCGGCGGGCTTCAGCCTCGGTGAGTCCGTTTGTTGCTCCGAGTGCGATGGTACCGGGAAGGAAGCAAACGAGATGATCCATCTTTGGTGACAGAGAGCCGCCAATTCCGCTGGGTAATTCAGCGACGATGCTGAGCTTTGCATGCTTGGTAGGGATGATGAGATGTTTCTGGATGCCTGTCAAAGCCTCCTCCCACATCTGGAGGTAGATCGGCTCGGAAGTCTGTAGGTACTGCTTGATGAGATACTCTGCGATAATTAGTATGGAATCAACGATGGAATGCATTAGATAGCGTACCATAGTATGAATCGCCTCGACTTCCAAGACGTATCTCTCGTGTTGTGAATTGACCGGAATGGGGCGTGATAAAGATCGGGACTAGACCGTCGTGCACGTTAACACTGTCGACAACCTCCATGACCTTTTCCGCTTTTCGCCAGTATATCTCGTTGCCAGTGACGTTCGATAGGTACTTCATCTCGATCTGTAGTGTTGTCGCTTCGGCCGTCGACGAAGCCCCACCATCAGCGTGTGATACAAGCCCTCTTCGGCTTGCCAAGTGGATGCTTGCGTATGGTATACCGGACGGCGAATCGTATGCGCCGAGAAGCCTGTCGGCTAGATCCACAGCCTTGGTGAGATAGATGCTGTCTCTTCGCGAAGAGACACCGGGCAGCACTGTCGTGAGATAGTGTGCAGAGAGAAGACCGCCCAACATGCGAATTGTGGTCTCGAACGTATTGACATCTTGATCTTGCTCATAATCTAGGCTGCGATGCAACCAAATCCTTGCATCAGCTAGTTGCGATGTAAGATTCATGATCATCATCGTGTCGAGACTATCAACGATAATCCAACCCAAGCCTTTCGGACTCATCATTGAGCCTTTCTTGGCGATGGGGTGAAATTGATCATAGCCTGCATCATGTATAAGCGTGAGATTCATACAGCGGGAAGGGTCTCACAAACCCCAAGCGTATTTGGAATACGCGTCCCAGCTACTGACAAAAGCATCTTTGACTTGCTGTCGTCGATTTTCCCACTCGCTAGGCGGGGTGGGTAGCCACTTCCGAGTAAGAGTCGAAGGGATGGCTTGTGTTGAAAGCCAAAGGCAGACAGAGGCTCCGAGGACAATCGCCGCTGTGAGGTATGGAGTTTTGGGAACCGACCAGGGGGATGAAATTGGCGAGGATGTCGTATGACCATTGGCCTTTCGAGCATGGCTCGCCTCGCGTTTGCGATTGCGCACAGAAGAACGCGACATACTAAGAAGTCGAGATTTGATGAGTAGGGAAGAAGTAGAATCGAGTTTTCACAGGTAGCCATTGTTGGCATCCCCCTTCGGTTCGACAGAAGGATTACAACCACGCCACACTCCCACGTTAGCGCCGGGAATTGAAACCGTGCGTACTGCATGTCTCAAATGATCATTGCAGCAGGCTAATCAGAAGGCGAATTGATGATCAAAGCGTTCGCGAACCAATAGAAGTGACATCCAGTTTTCGTGCGGCGCAGGCGTGCGAACGCCCGTGGGGGACGCGCCTGATCCCCTGCCCTGGTACCATGAAGTGAGACTCCGTCAGTGATACCCATCGTCTCGTAGACGAGACCAGCCATTTTACCCATACAGCCCAGATAATCCAACCCCGGAGGTTACTGTACGATGACAGATCTCTCTTTGATGCCAGCTACGCCGGTGACTCACGCTGGTGAAGTAACCTCATGGATTCCGCTCACAAGTACCTTCACGCCATCATCTGGCTGCGAATCCATCTTCCGGCTCAACGGACCCAGTCTAGTAGCGTTTGATCCAGGCTACGGTCTCGACATCGATTCGGATGTCGACTGCGTACCTTCCGCGGTGACAACGTGGTGGGAACAGGCACGACTGGGTGTCGGCGGTGAAGAGCATACAGCGCTGAGCATTCAGCCCCTAATATGTCCGGATTTGTGGACGACCGTCATGACCTACGTTACGGATACCTCCACAACCCAGATTATGTGCTGTCCCTCGTAAGTTGGCCATGCTCACCCTTTCGGCGTTGAACTTACCCGCTCATAGAGGCTACACCAACCCGTTCCACACAAGCGGCCCCGTCAACGGTGACTGCGTCTCCACCGTCCCCAAGGGTATGGTCTTGACATATGCATCTACACCCTATGGCTCGTCCAACGACTGGACTATTGAGACAACGACGGCAGCGCGAGATTCGAGTGTCGGAGCTATCGCAGTAGTGGGCTTCAACGTCGCTCGTGCACCTCCGACCTCTCCACCAAGCCCTTCCGGTGGTTCTACAAGCTTCGCAAGCTCGTCCTTCACATCCGCATCGCCAGCTATGTCGACAAGCGGCCCGTCACCAACTTCGTCCGGTTCGAACGGCCCTGCCAGAGACGGCGGAATGTCAACAGGCGAGAAGATCGGTATTGGCTTGGGTGTTACACTCGGTGTGATCGGTACTGCGGCGCTCATCTTCGCCATGCTGTTGCTTCGCCGAAGGAATGGAAAGCGAGCAAACACACCTAACGCCTCCGTTCCGGTGGCCGAAAGCGAACCCAAACCGATGGAAACAAATCAATCTCCTCAAGCATACGAATATCACATCTCTGAGCTCCAGGGTCATTATCAACCTCACGAACTACCCTCTCAAGAGCCTAAATCTCCGGTTGAGATGGGATACCCTGGTCGATAGTAGGCGTTCTGGGCGAGCGGTCGTAAATTCATGCCTTCTGTCAAATATACCAGATTCCGGATCGGGGCGTGGCTGGCCCACGAAGCAGGGGGATGCGGGCTTTGGGAAGTGCGCAAGCGCGCATTGTGGTCGCTCAACGCCTTCACTGCGGTTACGCTTTACCGGTGATACTTCTTCTTGACCCAAGTCTGCTAGAGTGCCGCAACACTGGTAGCAGCGCATTCTTGCTGATAGTTCGATGGGCTCCGGAAGGGACGAGGTTCATCAAAACCGTTGCGTCCGGACGTTCCGTTCTCCATCTCTTTTCTTAGGCTTTCGGCCACTTCTGCTTTATTACGATCTATTACATTTCTTTCCCGAAGCATGCTGTATGATTATGGTGATTGTTGCTAAGCCGATGTTCGTGTTGATGGTTGGTCTTGACAGAGCAGCGAGGCCACGTTATTGACCAGGTTTTGTTGGCTTGGCGCACGTCGTATCAGCAACCTTCTTGCACGTTCTGTATGCGCTTGTGCAGACTACCATCCTACCAACGCCAGCCAGCCATTGTGAACTTTGCCTTCCCTCAGTATCCACATTTGCGAGCAATGTCCACAGTAATCGCGTCAGAATCTGTCTAGCATCCTGGGCGTGCTTCCCTCGGCTACCTGTTCAAGTCTTCCATCACTCAGCCGTCTTTTCACATCACCTCGTCATCAATATCAAATTGTTATCGCGGTCTGAAGAAGAGGACACGTTGCGCAAATGGCGCAATCGCTGACATCCGGCTCATACGGCGAATTCGGACGAGTCGGCGATTCCCATAGTGCGCATACGATCCCAAAGAAGCACAAAACGCGACATACGTAAGCGGTTGCGTCAGTGCCTGAGGTACCTGCAGAAAAGACACCAGGCAGCAACGTTTGGGAACGCCTCAAGTTGTGTTTGTCACGTCTTGTCGTGTTCCTGGTGATATCAGAAAGGGGACGACAGCACGCTGCGCCACTGTTTTGGGCGCAGCGCTAAGCCCAATTTGGTGTTGCTTGCGAGAAAAATCAACCACCACAACGGCTGCTTCCAGCGGTGGGCATCTCGGTGCGGCAGACCAATCGACTCGGACTGCCATGCCATCCCTCGTCCGGTTTCAGAATGAAGTTTGCAGCCCTGTCATCGCCTTCTTGCTCTTCTGATAGGTCCATTAGAATACGCTGCTTACAAGCTTGGTGGTCCGATCGCGAATTCTTTCCCTAGCGAGTCTTCGCACTGCCGGCCGAACGCCTTGTCCAACCTACGTCGACGTCAATTTCCTGAGCTTATCGTCGCGTACCTCGGTGCATGGGAGTCGGCCTTGCGCTCATCTACAGAGCTTGTCAGATATAGGCGAGCTGAAGCTTGTCGCTTGGATCGTTTGGTAATATAGGCTTGATCGTAGTCGTAGGCTTCAGAGGCGGAGTTGCCTGAAATCCGATCAGGAATATCGTTGTTTACCTACGGCATCTTTATAGTCAGAACCGAAGGCCCGAGTCTGGAAGGCAAGTCTTGTCTTTGGTGCCTGAGTCTTGTCCCTGTCGCCTTCTTCTATTCTTCCATTCCTTAGAATACCGTATCACGATGGTCTACACCGGAAAGCCGAGCCGGGGGTGTGGGATGTGTAAAAGCCGCCGAATAAAGGTATGTATTACCTCGCGACAATTACTCTATTCTCTTGACTAGCGATATCGCCTCCGAGCGTATTCGGATGCGCTTGCCTGAGGCCGCGTTTTGGCTCGCCGACTGACTGTGCATAGTGCGACGAGAAACGACCAACATGTGGCAACTGCAAAAAGTCCGCCCGAGTATGTCCCGGCTATCCTGATGATTTCGACCTTGTCTTTCGAGATGAGAACAAAGCTATGGCCAAGAAGGCGAGGAAGTCTTCCGGAACGACCGCGTCGAGCAATAGCAACGGTGCGTCAAGCTCCAGCACTTCGCCGCATCTGTATGTACTACACCATTCTGCCCATGTCGATCCGCTTCGTGCACAGGGGATACCGATAAGCTTTGCCGAGCAAATGGGTACCCTCGTAGGCGATATGCGTTCTGAAAGTGTTCGCATGTGATTGTCGCAAGCCGAAGACCCACATTGCAATTTGTACGCGCTAACACAAATAGGTCACCTTCTTCGACGTTCGATGTACCACCGGGGGAGAATGCAGTACCGGGGGAGAAAGCCTTTCAAATCATCACCTCACGATCAAGAATACCCTCAGACTTAAGCCCATCACAACAAATACTTGCTCTGTCCAACTATACAACACCACCACTGTCTCTAGACCAGTCTTTCGACTTCGAAGCGTTCGTGTGGAATCTGGAAAACGCAGTACCGCCAACCATAACACTCGCGCCAGAATGCGAAGCCGTACCGTTCTTCTTCAAGAACTTCATCACCCTGCCACAACAGGCCGAAAGCACACGAGGATACCTAGAATATCTGGTGCCACTCTACAATCGTGCCCGCCCATCTTCGGTCCTCCATTTGGCTACTACTGCTGTTGCGATGGCAACATGCGGTCAGTATCCCGGCCGACAACAGCTCCTCCGTGAAGCGGTAACCACCTACGGCAAGGCTATCAAGAAACTGAACGACGATCTGAAAGATCCTGCGATGGCGAAGAGCGATGAGACGGTACTGGCTGTTCTCATGTTTTCATTATATGAAGTAAGTGAACGAGCCATCTCTTGCAGGCCTCCAATAACTTGGCTGTCTATCCCCAGATACATATGTTGAGCTAACGAATATCAGACCATAATGAGTACAGACGACACTATCACGGCATGGGGAAATCATGTCGACGGTGCTGTGGCATTAACGAAACTAAGAGGAATCGAACAGTTCAACGATCCAATGTCACATGCCATGTTCCGCGCCGTGCGAACGATGATGGTGAGTACCAATAGCATATCGTTTGCATGCCATAATCTAACGAAGGACAGATTACAAGCTGCGTTCAACGCTCAAAACCCATCGACTCTTTTCCTGGTACTGGAGGCTGGGTCGGCAACGGCGATATCTCCGAAGAGAATGCTGCCAATCGGTTGACACTCATCTGTATTGATCTCCCAAACCTCCGCGCTCGTGCGAACATCCTCACTACCACACCCTATGACCCCGCCTACGAATCAGAAGCGAAGCAAATCCTCGACCTTGCGCAAATGGTTGACGGAAACCTCGAAGAGTGGTACCGCACCCTGCCTCCAGAGTGGAAACATCGAATCATCGGCGTCTTCAGCGATCCAATCGCACCCGAGGAGATCGCGCTGGCTGAAAGATGGCCAGGCGAGCAACACGTATATCATGACGTGTCGTTGGCGAGTATAATGAACGACTACCGCGTTTGTCGGATATTCTGTCGAAGAGTCATCATGGCATGTGTGACATGGCTCAGCATCGGTGGCAACTATGCAGATGGCGATGAGACGTGGAGTAGGAGCGTGTTTGTCATTCAGATGATGGTGGATGAGATTAGTGCATGTGTGCCATTTCACATGAACTACGAGTTGCAACCCGTGGCGAAAGAAATGGGTCAAGAGCAAAATGGTATGTCGCAGTCCTGCTAACGCGATGTGAAGCATAGCGCTAACTATTTTGCAGCTGCGGAGGCATTCGGCGGATACTCGCTGGTATGGCCACTATACGTCGCAGCAAACGCCGAGACCGTACCACAAGAGCAACGCGACTGGTTGTTGGGTCGACTGTCCATTATTGGCACAAAGTTTGGACTGAGTAGTGCTCAGGTGCTGGTATTAGCGAGGAGACATGTTTTGACATGTGGCCCCATGTTCCCTTGACGCAGGGCAGGATGGGGCAAGGGATCTGTAAGAATATGTGGAGGAAAGAAAACATTCCAATTCATGGTGAACAGCATCGCACCTGTATTATACCTAGGTTTTTAGATAACAGTAAATGGGACTTCGCGGAGGATCTAATGTAAGCCGAATGTCTGTTCCATGGATCGTCATCCGTATCTAGTAAGTGTTCATGTGACCCACGCGTTCGACGCGGATGATCAGTGGAGACATGCAACATGTCACTCGTCAGGCGTCCTAAGCGAAAACCTCATGATAAGAAGACATCACCAGCACCCATCATGCCAGGATCAAAAAGACCTTCCTGGCCGCTCACATGTCCAGACTTTTGATCGATGCATCATCCGCGGCGATCAGGCTGCGGCCCGTTTCCGTGCCAAGGCTGACCCTTCAATTCGTGTTCGGGGTTTCATCTGCTCAGCCACAGCCACGGCATCTATAGCGACTGTGGGCCCCTAGCCCTTCAACAATTTGCAGAAACTTGAAAGTTTCCTTCCCTGAAGTCTATCTGTATTCCTCCCTCATCAGCCTCATTCACAGACGCACTCGCCTCGCGCAAGGTTACCCCGCCACACGACCCTCAGCGCAACACCAGCCTCGCTACGTCATCACCACCACAACCATGGGCGCATTGAACCTCATCCCGCTCTTTGTTCTCTTCGCGGTGGTCGGAGGCGTAGGATGGGTCGGCTATCAGGTAATTCATCTCTCCGACAATGCGCGCGCACGGCATGCTAAGCTATGCGCCATTACAGATCTTCCTTTACTCCAACGAGCTCGCCGAGCGTGGCGTGAAGAAGATGGAGAAGAAGAACGTCGTCTTCACCAAAGACGGCGCTAAGGTCGGAGTCAAGGAAGTCAATGCAGAAGACTATGCGGATAAGACGCAACGTGCCTTCGTCAAGACATGGAATACTGCGCATGAAGGGTAGGTCGTCATGAAGCATTATGGGCCATCTTTGCTGACTACGTGATAGGGGATCCCCGGCTGCGCGAAGACCTACGAGGTAGTTACAAGGCGACACGCGATTCGATTGCGAACGGATATTTCTTTTCTACGATACCTTTTTCCTTTGGGCATGCGCGGTCGATATCGCGTTATTCGCATCGGCCGTCGCGAGGATGATGGGAAGATTATACGGACAGGCGTCTGGAGGCCTACATATTGATACGGCAACAATGGTTGACGCTTGCGGCGACACATTCGGTGCATCCATATGCAGTACTTCTAGGCAGGATAATGAAGAGACGATGCTTATCGAGGCCCTATCAACATGGCACGCTTCTTTCGTATTGCTAACCGCTCGTGCGATAGGTTCTCGCTGCCAAGTAGCACCAAGTACCAAATACTATCGCTTCCAAGTTTGCTCACTGAAGAGTACCTGCCGACGTCACCTCGAAGGACTTGTGCGGACTGGAGTATGATCCGATTACGCGTCCGCTCATGGCGATAAGCATATAAGAGCGATCGAACATGCGCTTCGAGCAGTGCTCCGACATGCCGAATCTTGATTGCTGCTCGTACCCAGCTCAACAGCAGCTTCGATTGGCAGCGGATCTATCCTATTCGACTATGTACCCCCATAAGACCGCTGTTGGGAGCGGGGTACATTCGAAGCCTGCATTCTTGGCCGTGGACGTTTCATCTAGACTCCCGGATTGATGTATATCGCTCATCGGTCAGCATCACATGTCACAACATGCACATCGAACCCCCAATACAATCGTCTTGCATCGGGGTTACTAGCACGGTGGGCATCCCACGCACCGCGACGGGAACGATACAAGAACGACGTTCGGGGTATAAGGCGTATGGGCCGAAGAGGTGGGGCAGGCGGGGTGTAAATTACAGTCTGGCCGATTCTTAGGAGCTGTTAGAGGGGTGCATCGAGTTTAAAGGTGATGATCAGATATCGATTCGCGTTAGCCTGCTTATGCCAGCACCAGCCTGAGGATCAACGACTCTCGCGCACGGACGTTCGATGAACAAAACCATGTCGTGAACTTTGTTGATAACTAGCCCAAGGGTATTAGGCGGTCGTTCTACGGTCTTTATGATTAACCCGGCAGATGATGCGTTGCTCCATGAGATCTTCAAGTCAAACCCCGCCTACCAGATACATAACGCGGGGAGTATCTTCATTCAAGACAGTATCGCCCAAGTCCAAACATGACGATTTTGACGAGTATCTCAACGACTGGATTTACGCTGTTTAGCTTGAAGGGTATTTTCAATGCGTTCGAAGTGATTTTGGCGTCAGTGAGTCAACACCTCACGTTCCTGAGGTTGCCGTCACCCTTGCCCTGGCATCTGACATCCGTCTCACAATCGTGACATCAGGAGACTACCCAATCCTCTGACGACTGCCTTGATGCGACCCACCTATAAAGCTTCACTGACTCCGAATAGGCCATTATCTACGGTACCTGCACAGTAGTATACAACATCTTTTTCCATCCCCTCAGGCACATCCCTGGTCCCCTCTTCGCACGCGCCACCGGTCTATGTTTCGCGCTACACATACGCGATGGTAGTGTGGTCAAATGGATCAAAGAATGCCACGAAAAATACGGCGATGCAGTGCGTCTAGAACCGAATGAAGTCAGTTTCATCTCAGGAGAGACTGCGTGGCAGGATATCTACGGCCACAAAACGGATAGAAGCAGAAACTTTGTCAAGGACCTGAAGTGGTTGTAGGTTAATTCCATTTGAAGCTATGAGCGAGAAAATGCTGATGACAAGATAGCCCCCGGCCTGTCAATGGCGTCTTGTCACTTCTCATAGCTGACGAAGAGGGACATCCGCGGATGCGACGTAGTTTATCGCACGCTTTCAGCGACAAGGCTCTACGAGGACAGGAAAGTCTCATACAGTCTTATGTTGATCTCCTGGTACAACGCCTGGGCGAACACGCTGCTGAAGACAAGGATATCGATATCAGAACATGGTACAGTGCGTGGTCCACACAGCGCCTTCCACCTCACCACTCCAGCTGATTATATATGATAGACTTCACGACCTTTGACATCATATCCGACCTCACATTCGGCGAACCCCTCTACTGCCTCCGCGACTCCAAAGAACACCTTTGGATCTCCATCACCCTCCGCAGCCTGCAAGCCATCGCCCTCCACGTCTCGCGAGGCAAGCACTTCACATTCCGCTACCTCGACCTCGTGCGAAGCCTTTTCACCGACAACACCGGCCCCATGCGCGCCCGCTACGAATTCGCGAAACGGGCCCATGACATGGTCAGCAAGCGCCTGGAGAAGATCCAAAGCGGAGAAGACACACGCCCCGATTTCTTCACGCACATAATCAAGAATCAAGAGAAGGAAAGCACCCGACTCACTCGCGCGGAAATGGATAGTAACGCTGTTTCGTTCCTCATCGCGGGCAGCGAGACGAGCGCCACGGCTCTGGCAGGTGCGACGTACCTCCTTCTCCGCAACCCACAGCCGTACAGGAAACTCGTTACGGAAATCCGGTCGCGCTTCTCCTCCGCAGATCAAATCACCGTTGACGAAGTCAACAAGTTAGACTACCTCATCGCTGTCTTCCAGGAAGCGTTGAGGTACTATCCGCCTGCTGCTACAGGGCTTGCTCGTGTGGTGCCGGCGGGTGGCGACCGTGTGTCGGGCTACTATGTCCCTGGCGGGGCGTCGGTATATGTGTCCATGCATGCCATGGGCCATTCCGAGCGTAACTGGCGGGATCCGGATGCTTTTGTGCCGGAGAGGTGGTTGGGGGATGAGCGGTACACGGATGATAAGAGGGCGAGCCATCAGCCGTTTAGCTTTGGGCCGAGGAATTGTATTGGGAAGACGTAAGTGTTCTCGTCGTCTTTGTTCGTTCTTACTATGGGAACTCGGGCTGACATTACCGTATCTAGCCTTGCACATGCGGAAACGCGCCTCATTCTCACCAAGGTGCTTTTCGCTTATGATCTGGAACTTGTGGATAAAGAGAAGGATTGGATGGACCAGAAGGTTTTTGCGCTTTGGGACAAGGGGCCTATGATGGTTAAGGTGAAGCCTGCACAGCAGCCGTGAGGTGTGGGTTTGCGGCATGACGCGTTGGCAGTGTCGTGTGTCCGTGGGTTGGCAGATTTGATGCACAAGAGAAGCAAGTCTTGATGTGAGTGGATGAGAGGAAGATTGTCTCCTTGTCAGTGTTATGATTGTATGAAGCTACCATCTATGACGGTCCCGCTTCGCATTCATCTCGTGCGTTCCAAAACACTTCCTACAATGTGTAAATGAACTCTGGGTTTTCTCTGTCCGTAAGATCGAGCCATCTACACTTAAGATCAGCGCATGTACACATTGATAATGCATCTGAGCGTTCAGACTTACTCTTGGTTCTCAAGCTTGACATATCCAGGGTCAGCACGAATCAGCGCCTTCTTCTTATTCTGCCTGACGCAGTAGAAGTGGACGAACGCTATAATACCCAAGCAGACGCCATAACAGACGATAATCGTGATCTCGGCGGAGACGTAACGAGGAGCGTCTTGCTGGCGGAAAGTTTGAGGGCCTATATTCATGCATCATATTAGCCGGACTCGTCTCAAGCATAGAGGTAGTACGTACCGATGATATTTCCAGCACAATACCCAATCAAGTACATAGCCGCCACAGTCGTCTTCTTGGTGTACCCCGCTACATTACTCGAGATGAGACTGAGCAAGGCGACGAACGGGGTGGGGCTGGCTTGGGTGAGATAGTAACCAGCGAGACGACCGGAGTTGTTGTCCAGAGGCAGTGCGACGATGAGGATCATGCCGATCATAGCAGTGGTAAGACCGATCATGGATATGAGGAGGCGGTAGCCGTATTTATCGCCTGCCCAGCCGCAGGCGATGAGGAAGACGACTTCGACTGCGCCGCCTGGGGTGCCGTAGAGGAGGGATTCTTCGGGTGTGTAGCCGAAGCCGACGATGAGTTGGGAGAAGAAGTTTGAGATGCCGCCTTGGTGGGGTGTTAGCAGTTGGTTCGGTGAGGTTTGTGAATGATGGCTTACCGTTGGGGATATCAGCGATCAACGCGTAGAAGAAGAACGCCCAGCTCAACGGATCGACCAACGCCTCCTTCAACTGATACCACTTGAAGTGTTTGTTACCCACACCCTGCGCATTGATCCTAATACGTTCAATCGCCAAAACCCGATCCTCCTTACTCAACCACCTACAGTTCAACTGGTTATCCGGGACGATCCACAAAAACGCGATACCAAGACACGTAGTAAGCAGTCCCGTAACCAAGAAAACAATCTTCCAGGGCTCCATGATAGTTCCGTACTTGCGACATCCCACAGCAATGCCGTAAGCGACGCAGCCGCCGAAGATTTGCGCGAAGCCGTTGAAACTGAACCAGATGGCTGTGCGTGAGCCTTGTTCTTTCTTGGTGTACCATTGCGAGGTGAAGAGGGCGAAACCGGGGGTTACGGCTGCTTCGAAGACGCCGAGGAAGAAGCGGATGGCGATTGCTCCAGCGTAGTTTTCTACGGCTGCGAAACAGGACAGGACGAGGCCCCACATTATGATGTTGAACGCCGCTTTGATATGTTAGCCCCTTGGCAACCTGCTGAATAGTTAAAGCATTAGAGTGGAAGGAGACGTACAGTATTTTCCCAGTGGCAAGACTTGCAGTAGACGCGTGGTAGGATACTCCCAAGCGATATATCCAAAGTAGAACATGCTACCCAGCCACGAGTACTGGTCTCCGACTAGACCGATACCTGATTCTAGTATGTTGTCCGAAGGAGGGAGTTTCAGACCCATGATACTTGCGTAACTCAATGTGGTCTTGTCGAGGTAGTTGAGCCCGTAAACTATGCACATGATCTGTAAACATCATTAGCTCGTTACCAGTCATGCCAACGAACGCATCGATAATTTTCAGAACAGGGAAAATTGAACGTACGGGCATCATATGCATATCAATCTTCCTCAGCAGCGCTTTACTCTTCTCTTCCGTCAACTCCACAACCTGGCCCTCCATGCCCTCGAACGCCTTCATCGCCGCATCGGCATCGTGTGAGTGCTTCAAGAGTTTCTCGTCGAGGACATTCTTGAGACCTTTGCCGTTGTTTTCGACAATCGGTTCTTTCTCGACATCCACGGGCGCAGGATGCGGAGATGTGGGTGGGTGGTCGGTCGCTGACGCCATGACGTGGTATCTCGAGGGCGCTCGATCGCTTCGAATAGTCGACTCAACGAAAGAACAAAGATGCGCAATACTCAACTGCGCAAGTCGTAGTCACAATCGTTCATATAAACCCACCCAAGAGCCGACGCGACGTCAACGTCGACGCACAAACCTCCGTAAACGATAACCGACCTCCCCAACGCGCCATTGACGTCCGCCCATTCATAGTTGATAAGCCACCCCTGCATCTCCCTACACGCGATACGCTCACGCCCGCAAGTTGCCGTACCACTGCGGGGTATCTCTTGTGTTGATCCGCGGAACTACTCGAGATAGGGTCTGACACTACGTGATAGACAAGCGTACCTTCCGCAACAGGAAGCTGCGATGGGTGGCTAGTTCCGTTAAAATGGGGGTGATTGGGTAATTGCCGGGAGAGAAGCAGTGGAAGCTCAGCGGAGGCGTCAGACAAGGTATCGCAAGAGTCGCAAGAAGTCGGCTTGGTGATGATAGCGGGCTTGGCTTGTCTGCTGGACGGTGTGCGAGTTGATAGGGAGACAGGTGCGCGATGGTGATGATGTCAGTGCTGAAAGCTTATCGCTAGTCGCGATTAGACACGTTAAGCATAAAGCAACGTTAAAACTCTAAAGTGAACGTCAGGACAGTCACGGAGCGATCGTATTCGAAATGATTTGCATGCGATGGCGGTATGAAATTTTGTATTGCAGCAGCGACAAACATCATAGCTAGCGTGATACACATAGCACTTCGTTGTACCAACAAAATTGTGGGAAGAATTACTCCGTTGAACTCCAGGCCCGATTATCGGCCGATGCTGTGAACCGCGCATCCCCCCAGCCCCCAGGCTTATCATGATTTGGCCATGTAGCCGTGATACCCGAACGCCGCCCATATGCCGTTCGTAAATGCTGAAGACGACCACCCGTACTCGGAAAGAAAAGTGGGAAGTACAGATGTAAATGTGGAAGAAGAACAAGAAGAAGGCGCTTGACAACGGAAGAAGGATAAGACACTAGTTGCGATATTGCTATGATCGCACGAACACGCTGTTGAGTTTGTTCAACGCGCTGCTATCGGCAGCGGTGCTGTTCTTAGCGAGTCTCTCCGGTGCCAAGTCTCGGGGGAATCTCGTTGCGGTGTTGGGACTGCGGCTGCCAGAACGGCTGTTATTTTGGGTGTCCTTATCTTGGTTCTCGCCGTTGAGCAGCGACCCCAATGTAGGAAGCGGCCTTGATGCTGCGGCTGCAGCGGTGCTATTTGACTCGGGTGCCCGGGACTCGGACTTGTCAGATGGCTCTGGTGTCGGTGGCTTGTTCGCACCTGCTGCGGCGGCCGCGCCGTTGATAGCTGGAAGTTGCGGACCTTGCTCGGGAATTGATGGTGTTGGTCCTGGAGGAGGCGCAGGGGCACTGGCACGTTGAAGGTGTTGCTGTTGGGCTTGCTCAGCTGTCGATGGTGTACGAAGTGGTGGTGTCGCCATGTATTGTTGAGCAGCGTGTGCGGCATGCGCTGCGTAAGCAGGGTGTTGCATCAGCATGGGATGGTGGCCTTGAGGAGCGTGAGGGTGGGCCATTGGCGGGCGGTCGAAAACGTGTTGAGGGTGGTATGGAGGCTGCGCGTAGACGACGCCGGGGTAGAAGTAAGGCTGATGCGAGTAGTACATGGGAGGTGTACCGTTGGGTGGTGTGGGAGGATACATTGGTATCGCGTACATGGGTGCGACAGGGCCACCACGGGTATACGGCGAGGAAGGTGCCATGCTATGTCCGGGTGCGTTGTATGGCGAGCCAGGCATGGGCCCGCGAGTGACGGCAGGCACAGTCTGGGTCTCGTTCACCGCCGACTCCGGGTACATGTTCTTTGGCGGGCGGATGTGCCGCAGTTGCGCATCGTTGGTCGGCTGTGGGAGGTTGTTGGAATTCGATCGCGAGTAGTAGCTGATGAGGTGGAGGTGCTGTCCGCTCTGGGTGGTGATGCTGAAGGACTGCTTCATGAGACCATCCGGCTTGTACCGGTAGCCGTCTGGTCCCTCGCCGTCCGATTCACCTGAGCCTGTGCCGTCTGGCGACTTTCCGCTCGCCCTCTTCGCTACCGGGGCTGTGGGAACTGCGCTGCCTCCCCGCTTGCCCTCCATCTCTCGGTATGTGAGGAAGCTGCCCGACACGCGACTGGCACTCCATGATTTTCCGTCGGTCCACCGCCTCATGCCGGCCTCGCGCTCGTCCCATACAAATACTGAGCCTGACTTGATCTGCTGGCGCTCCTTCTCGGATAGGCGGCGCTGTACCCGCGGTAGTATGCCGATGCGGCAGGCCTCAAACAGGATGATGGCATCGTTTGGCGTGCGAACGTGTCCGTGGTAGGTCTCCATTGCGAAGACGTGTGTGGGGGAGATGTGTCGAAGATAGTGTGGAGGTGTCAAGACCTCATAGATGCTGTGTGGCTCGCGTTAGTCCTAGCCATGGAACAAGCGCTTCGGGTTCAAGGCAATGCGACAGTTGCAGTAATCTTGGTATGCAGGGTTTCCGGCAAACTCGGAAATCGCGGTGCGCAGAAATGTTGGAACAGGGCGAACCGAGAAACGGCATGCCAGAGAGGGGGCAGGCAAAGCGGCACGGAGACACGAAACATAAAGACAGACTTACAATAGGGTGTGTGACTGTGACGGGGCGTGTCTGCAAAGCCGTCGCAACGTCTATATGGGGCAGTGCGATGAGGTCAAATGTGTCGAGGTCCGGTGACGTGAAACGGGCCGGCAATGAAACGGAGTCAGCGTCTGATAGGTGTGCGCGGCAGTGGTCCACTTGGTATAGGCGGCGTTGGGTGACGAAAGCTGGAAGTTGGGGAAAATGGGTCAGAGGGCGAAATCTTTGGAAAGCCATCAGCAGTCATCCGCCCTCATGTACTTGCCGGCAGGCGGGCTTGGGACCCAGCAACGCTCCTTTGGCGTCTCTGGCCCTTTCTGGGCGCTGGGGTCGTCGTCTTGATCGCCCGCCGAGACGTGGAGTGGCGTCTGATAGCGAAATAAGGCGCACGACAAGCTTTATTTGGACCCCAGCTAGCTGCTCACTGGCCCTCCGTTCCAGCGGAGCCCCAGCAGCGTCTACCCACACACAGCCCCCAATATCTGCCATGCCGCCCTGTGCCACCAGCCAGCGTCCCCAGACGGCGTGAGAAACTGTTTGCAGCGACGAGCCCTCACCGCGGCTCGCACACGCCGGAGCCACGGCATGCCCAGCACCACCCAGCGCCTGGCGGCGTTGGCTCGCCCAGCCAAGCTTTGCGAGCCGGATAACTCTAAACGAATCTTTATTTTCGACAAGCCTTCGATCCCTTGGCAGCCCCACTCGGACCCCGGCGCTGACACCTCCCAAGACTTCGCGGTGTGGTCCATCAGTCCGTCAATCCGTCTTGTCCTGCTTGGCCCCCGCTAGCAGCAACACACCAAGCACAGCCAAGGCGTTCCAAAAGTCCGTGTCGTCCCAAAACCAACCCACGCTCGCGTCGCCCTCAGATTGTGGCAGGCCATGGCATGCTTGGCCTCGGTCCCCTAAGAAATCTCCACCTGTCGTGCTCTCGGCGCCCTTGGAAGCGGACAAACAACTGACCTGCGCGACAAAGGAGCCTGCCTAGTCCCGAAGGATGCCCTACACGCTCCTGCTAAGTGCAGAGTTTCTGTGCCGTCTGCTCGCGCAAGGAAACGGCCGCCCGCAAACTTGTGGCATACGTGGAAACTGTGCCCGCCAACCAAGCCGATTCCATACTCCGCTCTGGATCAGACATCCGCTCCGATCCACACCAACGTAATCCGGCGCTTGCAACTTCTCAGCTCATTCGCTTAAAGGCTCGGCCAGCACTTTGATTAAGCTTGGTGCCTGCGGTTTAAGCTTACCACCGTGCCACGAGGATCCGACTTACCCACACTGGCGGTATCACAGGGCCGTCGCTTCTCCGCTTCCAGAACAGAGGAGCTGAGCATCGGAGCCATGAGACTTCCCGCCCCTTGACTGTCATCGTGGCAGTGTTGCGCCATGACGAGACCCGACTTTGCGTAAAACCCTGCTGCCTACCAAGTGGGCAGCGCAGCACCTTGTTCACCAGACCGTCTTTCTTCGTCAAGACTCATCCAAGACCGTAGACTGCGGACGAGCACTTGTGCAAGATGCCATGGAACATGGCGTCTCAGCTGCCCGAGAGAGGTAAACCTCCGGGTGGAACCATTGGATCAGTCGCACTCAAGCCTGCCAAGTAGCAAACAGGATTGTTATTTCGATGGATGGCCAAGCCCGCCCTTCTCCACGTTCATACAACGCCCGCTGCTTGTCTTATCAGCTCACACCGTCGAAGCCGCGTCATCCGACTTGTCAAGCCTGCCCAGCGTTGGCTTCTCCACATACCGGATATTTACATCATGGGTTCGCGATTGCAGGCAGCTACGTCGTTTCAATCACCAAGCACGAGTCTCAGGGAAAGCCGTCGTATGTCTCTACGGGCCGACATCTTCTCTTCGAGATTACTGTGAGCATGAATAAACGGCGATCTGCGTGCGCTCAGTAATCTGTCTTTCGCTTACAGCTGCAAGGTTGCAGATAAGGTTGGCGCAGACTTAAGCATAATTTCCTTGCCGCTGCTATCCCCGGTGTTGGGTTGGTCCTCGCCAAAGACACCCCTCACAGCGATGAGTCGCAGCGCCCCATCGGCCGTTTGCTCGTATTCTCAATCCTTTCAGATCAGCTTCCACACGCAACGTGTCCACTAGCTGTCTTCACATGTTGCTGCACCTGCCGAATGCGAAGCACTGGAGCGACTGCAAGCCCACGTGCTCTGAGCCGCAAGTCCAGAACTGCGCCATCGGAGCGTCGTACCGTATAGTGGCAGCCCCTAGCCCACGATTTGAGGGGTCGTCCGGAACCGGTGGAAAATTAAGGTAGGCCAAGCAATCGTTGGTCCGATAGCGCCCGATGATTCCCCCAGGTCCCCAAACCTTTCCTCGACGACCGGCGCTCTGACGGCCTGTGTTTATCCGTGCAGGGCCGGCATGCCTTACAGCGCCTCACCACCGCGCGTCGAGCCGCTCTTGATGGAGGGAATTCGTTGCGAGTCCGAGAACCCGGTTTCGCGGTGCCATTATGCAAGTTGCTCAATCTATTGTTGCCTGCTCATTTGCTCTGTCTGTGCCACAGCGCCATACCAAGCACTCAACCGCGCCAAGGAGCCTATAGTGTATCGATATTTGCCCGCGACATGGAACCGCGGGCCTGCTCTTCTGGAAGCCATCTCCATCTATTTCCGCATCCAAATGACGCATGAGCAATATGACCGTCACTTCGAGTTTGTTGGACGTGATACAAAGCCGGTGGCAGCAGCCGCCTCGCTTCTGCAGTTGACAACTCCACTATGAACAGCGTACATACTCCGCCTCACGTACCTAAGCGATGTGTTGGAATAGCTGACTTGCTCACGACAAGCCTTGGTGTGTGAGATCCATACGTCGCCCGCCATCCTGGTACCAACGCATCATCTCACCTCAGACGCTACACTCCACGACCACCTCTCATCCCAGATCACTGCCCTGATTACTGATGCCCAGGCATACCGAATCTCAAACATACTTTCCAGGTGCTTGCTGCATACACACACACCGGTTCGTGCCTCTCCATTGAGTTCCCCGCTCGAACATGCGTTCTGAAACAGAACGTGTTTGGCCGGACAAAGAGTTGTGGAAGAGATCATCCGTGGACCTCGTTTGATAGTCCCGAGTTATCCGCGACGGCATGAAGGATCGCAGCCTAAGGATGCGTGGCGTTGCATCCTACGGCTTGGCTTGGGGCTTGGTAAGTGCTGGGGTGTTGGGTGGCGCACATGGACGAATGCTCGAAATTGTCGGTTTCTTTCGCATTGCCAGGGACTGACGCATTTATGGGAGCTTTGGAAGGTAACAGTCATGAGATGGAAGGGTGCAGAATCTTCTCCGTGCCGCCCTGGTGTTGCGGCTACACACTGATTGTGGTTTGTTGGTAAATACCATACTGACCGCACTCGAAGAACACCTCCCTAGCAATCGTTTAGGATTATGTATCGTTCGACCATCAAACTCGACGTCTCACTTTTTCGTACCTCCTGTCGTAGACGTTAGCCGCCATGATTCCATCCCAACCAACACCTCCAGGACAACGCTAGACCTCCCAGACCACACAAATCTCAATTAATGTAGCACCTCAAATAAAGGAAAAACTAAACGCCTTAGAGCCTACATTAAGATAAAAACATACAAAGTAGGTAGGCTAACGTCAACGTAGGCTCTAGGGTATTTAGTTTTTCCCTTCTATGATGTGGTAGTCACAATATGCTGTAATACCACGCCCCTCTCCACACCACCTCATCCCCCCTAGAAATCACAGAACACACTCGGAGCAAAGAACCGATCCCTCCCACACTTCATCGCCCCAACCTCCATATTCTTCTTCGAGTCCTCGCGACAAGCAATCTCCCTCTGCGGGCAGAACAACCTCACCGGATTATTCCCATCACACTTATACGTGCACGCCTCACCCTCAATATCCAGCTTAAAGACACCGCCAGGGAACGGCGCCTTGCTATCGGAACCGGGACGAGGCGTCTCATCGCTATCTGCAACGATTTCCTTGCCATCAGTCTCACCGCAACTGCCCACGGCTTTGCCAACGCTGGTGGTGTAGAACTTCCACTCGTGGTTGACGCTGACGGAGGTTCCGTGGCCGGAGTAGTGTGTGATCATGGCGATGGAGAGGGCCATACCTTTGCTGGGCTTTGTACTGGCCGGGCCTACTGAACAAGAACCGCGTCATAGCAGGGAGGTATGTCTGAATCTTCAACCGCTTCTTCGTCTGTACCATGTCGAATGGTGCGTCGAAGTGTCGCTGGAGGAGTTCTTCGTTCCGTATCAGGGCATCGCCTTTGACCATACACCACGATGATACCCCGCTACACGACGCGCTGTTCACGCCATATGCTTTCGTATACGACACTGGTATCATTGCGTGACTCTGATCCGGGCTTGGGGTATTCTTTCGGGACGAGCGGCTGCGCACGCCGGCTCCAGTCAGCGGAAAAGCAAAATCCGCCCGAGCCGCCGCAGCGTTTTGGGCGCGCGAAGATCGCTGGGAGTACATGGGTTGTGACGGAGGCATCTGTCTTGTTGGGTGTTTTTGTTGGGTTCAGGTACGTCGCATTCCGTGCCATCTGAGGCGCATACATCATAGGTGCCAGAAGCGTTCGAGTCACCTTCTTTGAAGCCATTTTTCCAAGTCAACTTCCCGTCTGCGTCTTCCGTAGCCATAACCTGCGATGGCTTGGTCGCTTCTTTTTGCATACGAACAATAGACTTGATGTTCACGTTTTTGTGCCTATCGTGCAGAATGGCGATTTCGTGGCGAGCGGAAAATGAGTCCTGTCTTTTTGTCTTCCATTCTACGGCGCCGAAGACGAGAACGTCGCCTGTGGTCTTCGCGGCAAGGTTTCAGATTGATGTCTCGCCCAAGTCTTTCTTCTCATCGAAAGACTGATACCAGCGATGGTCAAGGATTCGCGGATGGCCGCCATCCTACTATGTCAACCTTAGGTAAAGACTGGACGGGTCTGCATGCAGCCTGCATCAACATGAAAACCTGCAAATAGATACCTTAACGTCGATGTTGTCTCTAGATCTGTTTACGGATTTCCCTTGTATGAGGTGCTACTGAACTTGGGGCTAAGGAGCTATTGAAGTAGGCCCCCACTCGGCTTCCCGCTCAACGCCCGACTTATCCAAGACCAACGGCAGCAAGCGGCCTGTATTCTCTCTTTTCCAAAGAACACCAGTATCCTTGCTCAGTTGAAATCTTTCTCTGTACATTGAGTTCCGCATGCGGGCTACTTAGGTACCTTTGTTCACGCCTGCACGTGGGCGCTAGACCCCACCTTTCCAACCTGGGAACCTTCGAAGGATTAGAACTTTTCGTACACGGGTGTCGCACCTGCGCCTTTGTCTTGACTGCTGAAAGACACGATACTTGAAGCTTAGTACAGATCACACACGAATTGAAAACACGCAAGCCCTCGCCTGCCTGCAGACACATCATCTTCACCGTCTTGACCAGTATTACCACTACCATTATCATCACCATCACCATTGCCAATATCACCGCGACTCAAACATGGCGGAACCGACCATGGCAGACCTTAAGGATCTTCCAGGCCTCTACACCTCATCCAGAGATGTAGGCGATGTACTCGTAGGCCAGGACGACGCTCGCCGTCTCATCGAAACATGCTCGTCTGGCGACGACACAGCTTTATGGAGTCTGCTATCGCAGCCACAACATATCACGACGATGCTCAGTAAACCACACACCATCTATAGTAAAGATCCACGTGGGAAGGTCATGGCAAGGCCAATCCCAAATCTTGAGCGGGCCTTGATGGTAGCGGCTCAGAATGGCCACGCTGCTGTTATCACCGCACTACTTGCTTTCACAACAGAGCTTGAGGTTTCCCTTTCCGATGTTATAACGAGAGACGTCGTCAACAAGGTCATCGACGGTGGGAACGCCGCTGTCGTCGAGGCACTAGGCGCCGCCTACCCGAAGGTCATCGACATCCGCATCGGCCACGGGCACGAGCGGCCGCTGTACGAGGCCGTGAGGCGAAGGAAACCAGATGTAGTTGCTGCACTTCTCGAGCTGGGAGCAGATCCATTACATCCCGTTGCGCCAGGCTACAAGAAACTCGGAAACTACCGCTCGTCTCTAATGTCCTTCGCTGCAATGAACGAGGGTCCGCGCACGACAGCGATGCTATTGGAACGCGGTACACCTATAGCGGGTACTGCTGCGTTGCACACCGCTGCGAGCTTCGGTCAGCTCGACACTATGCGACTGCTGATAACGCATGGCGCGGATGTGGAGGAGGTCGTTCCGGGCTGGAAGGGCTGGACACCGATGCACTTCGCTGCCTGGACTGGCAAAGCCGATGCCATGAAACTGCTAGTAGAACATGGCGCACGCATAAACTCGAAGGACGAGGATGGGAAGACGCCTAATCAACTGATGAAGACGCGGAATGCTGCTTAGTAGTAGCACACATGGACGATGGGAGCGCGAAATCTGCTTGCCATCATAACTACTGTCCGTCTCCTCCAACTCATGAGAGTTCATTTTTGAGAATGCACGCTGTGAAACGGGTGATCGGAGTTTTTCGTGAGGGAAGGATAGCTTCCAGGACGAAATGCGAATTCTCGACGAGGAGTACCATTTCCTGGGTCTTGACTTTAGCGATGGCGCTGTGTTGAGCTCAATCAAAAATGACTACAGCAATAGTGCCGGCATCCTTTCGCGTGTGTATACTACGCATTAATTGTTCCGTGTTGCGGCTCAAAGTCCTAGACTGAGTCCCGAAGTAGCTGCGTGAGGTCTTGAGAAGCAACGACGCAGGTCCGTCATGAGGCGCTCGCGAGCACTCAGGTCCGTCAGGTCCACGGGTGTGTGCGCCGCATCCGCATGTGCGAAAGCTTACTCGATCGTCATCTTGTCCTCTTCTCTTCGTTTTCAAGGGCTTCCGTGCGCATCTCATTCCAATCGATATCCTATCACCGGTCAGATTCGCTAAGAAGTATTGAAGCCATGAACGTGTCGCTTAGGTTATTTCCACCATCTGTAGCAGCTGCAGACAGGATGCTCTACCTCTTCGAGCCGTGATGTCAACGCCACCAACCTTCCGTCGTGCGCAAACCCGTCACATCTCAGGCGCCCTGCATACTCCCGGTCGTAAAAGCACGGCGCCCGCCGGCTTGGATTGGCTCGAGTACATACGCCATGTATGGAGTGCAATGTTGGCCGGATTGACATCTGATTTGCGCACCGTTGCCCGCTATTTGCCTTTCATGGAGGCAAGAAAAGATGGTATTGAATGTTTTGGTAATGCGTGGTGCAGTTGCGCTCGCAACAGTGGGTGGGAATTCGTTTTTCGAGCTACTGATTCAGCATATGCGCTTGTGGCATTGGTGCCGAATCAGTACAAAGGCAACCTCGAAACGGGTCATGTGCATCATGAACACTAGAAGAACGGCTATGGAATACGGCTGGTACGACCCAATGTATTGGGCCGTTTGCGCTGATCAATCTTTGTACCGGTCCCTTGTTCTTCGCAGACTTATGCAAAAGATTGCGTATTGGCGTGTTTAGCAGTACTGAAAGCGTGGTATCGAGATACCCAGGCGCGCAGGCACGCCCATAGCAATCGCGTTGTTACACACACCAAGTGCTGAAGCGACCCAACGTACTACACTGCACGACAATATCTTAACTCATGTACAATAGATCTTCTTCAAGCAAACCAGCGCGATAGATGTCGTTTACCAAGCCGGAACGTGGAGGCCACGCAGCATACCCGCCAAACTGTGCCGCTGCGTCGGAGACGTCGAGCGCGCCTGTCAATTCCCAAGGTCCTGGCTCCAGGTCTAACAGCAGCATCATCACGCAGTCCCAAGCAACGTACCCACCTTGCCTTGCGTCGGTCACATTCCCCCGCGCTGCATCTAAACACGCGCAAGGACCCAAGATCAGTCATCCATCAGATAAACCACGGTACCTATCCCATTTACCTCGTGCGGTTCTTCACGTGTCAAGTACTAGCGGTGGTAGTAGCGGCCATCTGCGCACATGCGGCGGCTCCGCGTCAGCGGACGTTTTCAAGACTTATTAGTATCACGCCACGGCTAGCTCGTAGAGGAAGACACCAGGCTCGAATCTGCATTCCGCCCGCCTGCACCGGCAGAGTTCCGTATCTGGGGTTAAATGAGTGCGGCGTTCTCGGGCTATCACTACCGCGACGTAATTCAATACCGCTCCCACAGCTCCCCATGGGGCGGGAAGGAAGAGTGGCGGGATGAACAGCGCCATTGGACACGAAGTGGAGGTCCTAAAGGGTAGAGGCATATCCGACATTCATGGTAGCGAGATCTAACGGGGTGGTCAGACGGCTCATATCAGTGGAACTCGCAGATGCCGTGTAACTCAGACCCTTCGTGCTCACCCCCAGCCCCCAGCGTGGAGAAAACGAGTGGAGAGACCCAAAAATTCCTGGAGCAGCAGGGCAACCCATCTGGGGAGCCCACGGATAAATAACGGGTCTACTCCAGTTAACAAGCGTACAAGCTTGTCGCGGTGCGGGGATATTAGCGCGCGTATTTTAGCACCGGAACAAAGCTTTGCATCGACAGTTCTGATAGGTGACGAGCAACCAGCAATACGAAGTCTAGAGCAGACAAGAAACAGCCACCTGCAAACCAACACGCAGCGCTATGGATACATCTGGTGAGCGGTCCGCTGCTAGGCCAGCGTAGCGACACAGCACGACTCTGTCGTGACAGCCGCCTCGCACGGCTTGGAGGCCCTTGCGCAGACGGCGCAAGGAACCAGCTTGATAGCCAGAAGCCGTGATTGATGGAAACTGTCTCGTGCATTCCTTCCATGTGCACATAGCGCTGACGGCGGACCCACCAGTCGCCAGCGACGGATTTTCCATCTTTCTGGGGAATTAGACAATGCACGCTCGGAGATGTGGAGGGGTGGGTGGATGGTTCAAGCGCGCGCCGGGGGTGACTACTGTACACCAGATGGCTAACCATGCCTAAATGCCGTTGCTGCAAGGTCACATTTAAGCCGCCCCGCGTTGAGTGTGCGCACCCCGTGCTGTTTATAAGGTGGAGACGTTTCCCCGGTTTATCCTTTTGTCTTCTTTGCCAGCCCAGAGTTCCTTTCTCTGATCTGATACCCTTTGCCTTTTTTTTTCTTGTTATACCCCGGCAAGAGCCCTTTCGCAAAGATGGGTGACGTCCCCAAGGAATATGGCGGCGATGTACACGTCGAGAAGGCCATCTCGCATGTTGACGACTCGGTCGCGCTTGACGAGAAGGCTCAGGCTGCTATGTTCAAGACGCAGGCTATGGACGCTGAGACTGCTGAGCATGACATGGGTGTCGTACAGGCTGTTAAGGCGTACCCCATGGCCGCTCTCTGGGCGTTCATCATGTCTTGCACTATTGTAAGCTCCTCGCTCAAATCCCTCATAATCAAGATGCGGTTGCTAACGAATGTCTCTAGATCATGGAGGCTTACTGTGTCTTCCTGATGGGTAACTTCATCGCTCTGCCCGCGTTCGAGAAGGAATTCGGTATCCCGCTCACACACCCGGACCCTGACCGACCACACGGCAAGATTATCGCGGCTAGCTGGCAATCAGCGCTTCAGATGGGAGGACCCGTTGGTGCCATTATCGGTGTTTGCCTGGCTGGTCCTCTTACCAGCCGCATCGGATACCGATGGGCGACCATTTCCGGTCTGATGCTTCTCAACTGCTTCATCTTCGTTTTCTACTTCGCCAACTCGCTCCCAATCATGTTCGTCTCCCAGCTTCTCGAGGGTGTCCCGTGGGGTATCTTCATCGCCAACGCTCCCGCGTACTGCTCTGAGATCACGCCTATTCAGCTCCGTGCTCCGGCTACCCAGATGTTGCAAATGTTCTGGGCTATCGGTGCTATCATCGTCAACGGTGTCGCGTACTACTACAACCCCAAGCCCGACGCAAGCGCCTACAGAATCCCCATTGCGCTTCAATGGATGTTCCCCACTCCTCTCGCTATCCTCATCTACCTGGCGCCAGAGTCTCCCTGGTGGTTGGTACGCAAGGGCAAGCTCGAGCAAGCTGAGAAGGCCGTCGGTCGTCTTGGACGCAAGGGCCAGCTCAACCTCAGCGAGGCCGTCGCTATGATGCGCCGTACTATCGATCTCGAGAAGTCCATCAAGGAGCCCAGTCTTTTGGAGCTGTTCAAGGGCACCGACCGCTACCGTACTCTCATCGTCTGCGGTGTTTACGCTGCTCAGAACTTGACTGGTAACCTCATCGCCAACCAGGCCGTCTACTTCTTCCGCCAAGCTGGTATCTCGGTGAACACCGCTTTCGCCCTTGGTCTCATCACCTCCGCTCTCCAGATGATCTTCGTCATGCTTTCCTGGATTCTCACCACATACCTTGGCCGCCGCACCATCTACGTCTGGGGATCTCTCATCAACGTTGGTTTCCTCGTCGCTCTCGGTATCGCCGCTTCCGTCGGTGTCTCCAACGCAGCTTCTCTTGCCCAGGCTTCCCTGGGTCTGATTGTCTCTGTTCTGTTCACTCTCGGACCGGCTCCCGCTTCGTGGGTCATCATCGGAGAGACCTCGTCTATTCGTCTCAGGCCCCTCACTACCGGTATCGGACGTGGTGCTTACTACGTTGTCAACATTCCTTGCATTTTCCTCGCTAGTTACATGCTTAACCCCGACGTAAGTCCTACCCTTCTTCGAATCTAAACACGAACTTTTACTAACAAACATTCCAGGAGGCCAACCTTGGCGGCAAGTGCGGTTACGTCTGGGCCGGTACCGGTTTCTTCTGCTTCGTTGTCGCATACTTCTTCCTCCCCGAGATGAAGGGCCGCTCTTACCGCGAGATCGACATTCTGTTCAAGCGCAAGGTCCCCGCCCGCAAGTGGAAGAAGACCGTCGTCGACATTGGCGACGACTCGTAGATGGAGACGCGCCTACTACGGCGAAGTTTTCGAGTCTGCGGAGGCAATGCGTCGTTTGGCGCTTGCTGTCTTCTGTTGTTCAGGAAAGATGTAGTCGATGGAGTAATGCGTGCCCTCCATACCCTAGGGTCACGAGTAAAGACGACGAATGAATCATCTCAACACAAGCTTTCGAAATTGCGTGACCGATCTGTATAACCACATGTGAATGAATCTGTTTTCAAAGTCATTGCAATCGGATCATCAGAGACGAGCGCGCAAACAGAAATGAATGAATCTGTCATGCTCTCAAATTATAGAAAACAAAATTAATGTAGAAATCGCGTTTTGTTGCAGATGCATGCGTGCGGTCCACGGGTTCAGTCAGAAACCGAGTTTCCGATACGCAGATGCCAAGCCACCAGTACCCATTAGCCTAGCGTCACATCGCTTTCACGTCCGAATCAGGCAACTTCATGGAATCCGTCGATTGCGGGTGCCTGGAGAATTACCACGAGATTCCTG